TGCTGGAATTAAAGGTGTGTACCACCACGCCTAGACCTAAGCTTTTCTCTACCTGAAACTTGTTCTATACCAGGATGGCCTTGAACTCAGAGATCTGCTCGCCTCTGTCTCCTGGGATTAAAGGTGTGTCTGTATTCCAGCCAGATCACACAGACCTAGGTCTTTGGATATGATCTCTTGCCAGACCAGCCATGTTCTGAATTAAAATTCCTGTGTGTGTGTGTGTGTGTGTGTGAAAGAGAGACGTGAGGGTGCATTGCCACAGCACCCCCAAGTAAAGGACAGTTTTGAGGAGTCGGTTCTCGTCTTCCACCTTTATATGGGTTTAAGGGATCAAACCCAGGCCTCCAGGCTCCTGTGCCGGGTAAGCCACCTCAGGAGGCTGGCTCTAAGTTTTTTAAGTCGGGAGAGCTCCAGGCTGAACTCTGGTCAAGAGAACAGTTGGCTGGAACATTCTGCAGCTCACAGAAGTCAGACAGACAGAAGGAAGACAAGTGGGACCCCAAAACCTGATGGTGGCCCCTCGGTGCCCTCACCGATGTAGCCTGCTGTGACTTCTTCGTTTTTAAATGGGGCTGTGGGTGGAGAGACGGGGCAGGAGCAGGTATGTGCACAAAGCAGGTGCCCTCGGAGGTGGGAAGAGGGCCTCTGACCATCTGGAGCTAAAGCTAGGAATGATGGCGAGCTGCCTGGCCCGGGTGCTGGGAATAGAACTAGAATCCCAGAGCCGGGGCCACATGTCCAGTGACCCGCCCCGCCCATCCCTGTGCACGCCCCTTCCAGCTGTGAATGTTCACTGAAAGCAAGCGCTTCCTGCTTCCTTTTGTGCTGCTACATCGATGAAATAAAAAAACCAAAATGGTGTTTAAAGCCACAGGCTTAACCTCACCACTTAGGGAATCCGTGCAGAGGAAGTGTGACATTGTCTGAGCCGGGGAAAAGCGAGGCATAGAAGCTTATCCGCCAGGAAACGCTATTTTAAACACAGGAGCGTATCTGTAGAGTGGAGCAGCTGTCTCAAAAAGAGAAAGAATGGAGGGCCAGAGATATGACTCAGTGAATAAAAGCGCTTGCCCTACAAAGCCCAGGAATCTGAATTCAACAACCCACCCTCCTGCCTCACGCCACCCAACCTCCACCCCAGAACCAAGAACGGAAGTAGAGAACTAGTTCCTAAAAGATAGATAGATAGATAGATAGATAGATAGATAGATAGATAGATAGATAGTTAGATACATACATACATACATACATACATACATACATACATACATACATACATAGACAGACAGATAGATTTAAAACAAACATATTCAAAAAGAGCAGTGGCCACCACCACACCCAGCCCCGCCAAGGGCTCTTTTGTAGAGCAAGCAAGAAAAGCCAGTCCTCCGACCCAGCCAGGCTGCAGTGTCTCTAGGATTTGCCTGGGGACGAGGCTAGCTTTGACGATAGGTGCTCCGTGGTTTTGCCCCACAGGACTGACTTTATCTTAAACCGGAAGTTAACTTCAGGGGAGAACACTGGAGCATGGAGAACAGTAAGCCAAGGAAAGTCCTCCGTTGGTCAGTGACAGCGCAGGGGCCAGGAGAGCTGTGCCCTCGCAGCAGCCTGCACCTGCTCAGGAGCCCTGATGAGCCCAGACCCAGTGTCACTAGATCGTGGGAGCAGATCTCAAAAAACTAAAAATTAAAAAAAAAAAAAAGACAGGCAAGAGTTCAAGGCCAGCCTGGTCCACAGAGCAAGTTCCAGGTTAGTTAGGCAGGTCTCAAAAACCTCCAGTATTATCCCTGTCCTATTCCCTCCTCTACCCTGACCTCCCACTGCTGACCCCATTTAACCCTTCCTGCGCCAGTATTTCCCTTCGCCTTTTTATACCACTACATTTGGTCTCCCCTCCAATGAAAGCTGCCACTCACGGCCCCTTACAAATCTCCTGGCTTCCCTGGGTATCCCAAACGAGGCTAACATCCACAAAGGAGACATGCCATGTTTGTCTTCGGGGTCTTTGTGACTTCATTTAAAATTATTTCCTGCTCCATTCGTTTACCTGTGAATTTCATGAACTTATTTTTCTTACCAGTTGAATAGCATAATATCTTTTGTGCAAAAGTACCGTGTTTTCACTGTCCATTCCTTAGTTGATGGGCATTAAGCAGTTTCCATTTCCTGTCTATTATGAATAGAGCAGCAATAAACACAGATGCGCAGGACCTCTGTGGCAGGTTAGAAAGTCCTTGGATTCAATGCTCAGGAGTGAGAGAGTCCTGTAGCTGGTATATCTCTAGCTTATTGAGAAACCTGCACACTCATTTCCACAGCAGTTGTCCCAGACAGACTCCCACCAGCAGCAAATAACTGCTCCCCTATCCCAAACCCAGGATAGCTTCATTATTAATTTTTTTAATCTTAGCAATGCTGAGGGTAAGATGAAATCTCAAATTTTTAATTTGTGTTTCCCTGATGGCTAAGAATGTTGACGTTTTAAAAAATGTCTCCCGGGGGCTGAAGAGATAGTGCAGATGTTAAAAGCACTGGCTGCTCTTCAAGGGGTCCTGAGTTCAATTCCTAGAACCCATATGGTGGCTCATAACCAACTACAGTGAGATCTGGTGCCCTCTTCTGGCATACAGGCACACATGTAGGCAGAACACTATAAATAATAACCAAATCTTTTTAAAAAAATGTTCTCAGGTGTTTTTGATTCATTTTTTGAGAACTTAATGTTTGATTCCATGCCTCACTTTTTTTGGAAGGTAGCATTTCAAGACAGGGTTTCTCTGCAGGGCCTGGCTGTCCTGGAACTTAGTCTGTAGACCAGGAGGGCCTCAGCCCCAGAGATCCACTTGCCTTTGCCTTCCAAGTGCTGGGATTAAAGCATGTGCCACCATACCTGGCTCCATGTCGTTTTTAAAATTGGGTTATTTTCTTGATTTTTTTTTTTCAGTTCTTCATATATTCTAGATAGTAACCCTCTGTCAGATGTAAAGCTTCTGAAGATTTTTTTTTTTTACCCATTCTCTAAATTTCCTCTTCACTCAAATGATGATGTCCTTTGTTGTAAAGAAGTTTGTTAGTCCCACGAGGTTCCATTCATTAGATGTTAGTCTTAGTGCCTGAGTAACTGGGGTCCTGTTCAGGAAGTCTTTCCTTGTACCAATAACATTGACTGGATTTAAGGCCTTATCCACAAAATGAAACCCATACCCCCGCACCATTATCAGGGCCAAGAGTCTGTGGACAGGCAAGTCATAGGCCCTCAGGGAGGACCTGTCACCACTGTTCTGCTAAAAGGGTAGTAGTAAACTGAGCTCTTACTGAGACATATCGATTCCTGCATCTCTTGGCTCTCATCAGAAAACCTTCTGTTTGCAGAAGATGGTGATGAACACAGAGACCCACACCTGGTCAAAGCGCAGAGAAGGAGAGCCTCCGGAATGGAATGTTGGGCCCTAAGTGTGGCATGTGTACCACACACCCTCCTCCCGGGGCTCAGCAACCACCGCAGGAGGCTGAAAGAGTGTGGATGGCTACAAGGACATAGGGCAGCCACACAGATGAAGTCCCAGCAGTTGTGAGTTATGAACTCACAGAATATACAAGACCCAGGCAGGTCGAGCCAGGCAAAATCTCATTATGAATGGGGAGCTGGGCATGACCCACTCCTAGCTGAGATGCTACTGGCAGCTGATAGTTGCTGGGGGTGGGGAGTCAGTGTTCTTCATGGCTTGTGTCCCTGATGGACAGACCACCCTCCAGCAGAAGGCATACATTCAGAACTGTATAGGTAGCACAAAGCAGACTTGATGGGCCAAAGAAAGAGATAGGACACAAATTGGGTGGATAGGGAAGAAAGAGTTTATCTGGGAGGAGATGGCTTCAATGTGGTCAAAATACAGTGTATGAAACTCTTAAACAACTAATGTTTAAAGAGAAAAGTTGGGCATGGTAGCACATTTAATTCCAGCACTCAGGAAGAAAAGGCAGGTGGATCTCTGAGTTGAAGGTAAACCTGGTCTACAACCGTTGTGTGCACGGTGAGTTCCAAAGTCTCAAAAGGCCAAAACAAATCAACAATTTTCAAGGTTAGTTTAACCAAGCACGGTGGTGCACGCCTGTGATCCTTTAGGAGCCGGAGGCAGGAAGATCAGGAATTCAAGGTCAATCTCAGCTCGAGTTCAAAGCCAGCTCAGGACAGATGAGATCCTATCTCAAAATACACAATCCAGTAAGTGGAAGTGGGAGGGAAAGCGTGTGCCATCTTTTCCTCAACAATTGTGCTTGCCCCTGTGGCTGTACTATCTCCTCTGCGTAAGTTCCATTTGGCTCCCATCTTAATTGTCCTCAAGGACAGTCCACTGCGCTTGGGAGTCATCAGCTTCTTGCCTATACGTTCAGTTCTATCAGTCTAGGAGCCCCTGCCACCTTCTGTTTCTCCAATCTAGTCTGGTCTTCTTACCCAAACTCAAGCTGGACAGGTCCAGCTCATCTCCAAGACCTTTGGCACGAGGGTATTTCCATCCCCTTGAGGGGAAGGGTGCTGAGGAGAGATAGAGGAAGCAAGGAGAGAAGGAGGGGAGAAAGGTGATTCCCATATAGCTGCATGGATTAATACATTTAAAGTAGAATCCTGTCCCACGGACCACGCCTGGGAGACTTTGTTTCTAGTCTCCGAGCCTACGTTTAGCAAATTGTTCACAATTTCGCTTTCCGAATGTGCAAAAAGGGAGACATGACATTCTCTACAAGCAAGGCGGCGATCACAGATACGCAGAACAATGAACACCACTCCGGGACCTACGCGGCAACCCGGCGTCCACACACAGCAAGCACCCGCCACTCTCCGCCACGCGCAGGCGCGCCCAGCAGCGCACCTTTACGCATGCGCAGTCGACCGGAAACCCAGCCGGAGGCTGAGGTGAAGAGGCGGGACCTACGCAGCAGGCCTGCGCAGCACGCCGCCGTGCGTAGCGGGAGTGGGCGGGGCGGCGCAAGCGCGCAGCCCATCCCGGCTCTGGAGCATAAACAAGAGTGGGGACGGGATGAGGCGGCGGTTGGTCCCCGCGCAGCGAGAGGAGGCGAGCCGGGCCGCGAACCGGACCGGGCGCAGATCCTGAGCTTAGCGCCCCCCGGCGGGCCGCCCGAGTTGCGCCGCGCGTGCTCCCGCGAAGGGGGTCCGAGCCCGTCGCGCGCGTGCAGCCATGAACCTGGCGAGCCAGAGCGGAGAGGCCGGCGCCGGCCAGCTGCTGTTCGCCAACTTCAACCAGGATAACACGTAAGGCCGGGGCCGGGCTCGGGGCCGGGTCAGAGGTCAAGGCCTGTGTCAGGGTGAGGGGTAGCTGAGCTAGGGGGGTGCTGAGCCCGCGCGGCCGCTCGGGCGCTGCTGTCTCCTGGGCCGGGGGAGGTGATGGAACTCGGGGTGTTCCCATCCACCTGTCCCCAGACCTCGCCTTTCGCCAAGTTGGGAAGAAACTGTGCACGCCGGTTTGCGCCGGTCACCCAGAATGGGTTTCGCGGCCGCCCTAGGCATCGTCCGCCTCCCCCTCTCTGCATCTTCAGTGCCTCTTCTGTTGCTTTTCATGGCTTTTCTTCCCTGTTTTTTTTTTTTTTTTTTTTTTTCTTCTCTGCCATTCTTTCTGGCAGATAACTTTGTCTCCTTCAAACAAGACCCAAACGGCAGTGACCCAGGCCTTCGATTTAGACAGACTTTGTCCTCAAGGGGTCTGGGTGCTTTGAAGGGGGTAAGGTGAGCTATTCATTCCTGAGGTAAAAGAGAACCTTCGTGCCGGTCCCCTGTTTTACCAGGCTGACCAGCTATAGGTTCTAATCTGGTTCTTCAAGGCCGCCTCGTTGGCATACCTGGGAGGTAGGTAATAGATGAGGTTTGTGAGGAAGGAAGGATGAGTTATGGGACTGGAAGGGAGAAGAGCCATCTTGGGAAGTGAGTAAGAGGAAGTGATGTAAGAGGAGGAGGAATGGGTCACTTGGCATCACACTAAGAAGTTGGTTGCTACTGGCAGAATAGCATTAGCAAAGTAGAGACTGAGGTTTTTATTTTTCCTCAATTAAAAGTTAAATTGGAGAACGGCAGCCATCTGTATGGAGGTAAGCAACAGGTGCTCAGTTGGATCTTTCTCACGTCCTCAAGATCTTGAAGTAGGTGGGTGACATGGTCCAGTCACAGATGAGACAGTGAAGTTCAGAAAGGTCTGGAGCCTGCCAGCATCGCACAGTTGGTTAACAGTGGGATGGGGCGGAGTAGGGTCTCGGGTCCCGAGCTCTCTCTCCAGGTGTTCGTTGTGGTCTACCACACTGGGTCTTTCCTGCCTTCCATTCTAAGGACCCTGGATCGAGACGTGATGGTTGCTCTGTGAGTTAAAGCTGCCAGGGCCCTGTAGAGAGTGCTCGATGGATAAAGCAGTCACCTTACAGTCGAGAACCGGAGTCAAGGTGCCAGCACCCACGTACAAGCTAGGCAGCCAGCTATGACCTTAGCACTTTCCAGATAGAGACAGGAGACCCCTGGCCTGTTGATTAACAGAGTCAGTGAGCTCTGAGGTTCAGGGAGAAACCCTACTTTGGTAAATAAAATGAGCAGTAGAAGAAGACACCTGACATCAGCCACTGGCCTCTACACGAGTGTGTGCACGCTGGCACTGGTGTGCCCCCACTTGCAAAAAGTGCACATGCAGGCTGCTAAGTATTGTGTTGTTTGTGCTGTAAAACCAGCACAACAAAAACTCTGGAGACAACCTGTTGCAATATGTCCAGTGAATAAGCAGGAGGAGGAAAGTTTTTAGGTTCCTTTCAAACCATTAGGATTTGAGGACTAGTATTACAAAGCTTTACTTATGGGTCTCCTCAGCCCCGAACTCACAGTTCATGAAGTTATTCATTCAAAACAACACTTGCTGTGTCATTTTTGACTTGCCAAAGAGACCTTGAAATATAGAAACATAAGTTGGGAGGAATTCTAGGCTAGGGCTGTACTGGAGTTCAGTAGAGTTATGAGACTGTTAAAGCCATATGAGCCCTGGCATGGTAGCCCATGCCTTTAATCCCAGAGCTGGGAGGTCTCTATGCTGGTCCCTGAGTTCAAGGATAGCCACGGCTATACAGAAACCCTGTCTTAAAAAAAAAAAAAAAAAAAAAAAACCTACAGGTTAAAGAAATAGAAAGGTTCCCATGGAAAGGCTTTTGCTTTATGTCTTTCCTTTCTTCACTCCAGAATTAGTGAGTTCTTAGCTAATTAATTTATTTATTTAGAGACAGGATCTGTTAAGTCCAGCTGCCTTTGAGCGCCTCTTGCTTCTACTTCCCAAGTACTAGAAATTCAGGGGTATGCCATTAAGCCCAGCCAGGTATGCCAGTGTACACCTTTAACCCCAGGAAGGCAGAGGCAGGAGGATGTGGGAGTTGAAGCCTAATGTACAGCCAGGACAGAAATGCGAGGACTAGGCTAGGGCCGCTGAGGGTAGAGGGACAGGTAGAGCTGATCACCCCCAGAGTCCACTGGCCAGCCAGTCTAGCCAGAGTAATCTCCACGTTCAGAAAGAGACTGTCTCCAAAAACAAGGTGTCCATTAATCCCAGCCAGGTGTGGTGGCGGGGGCCTTTAATCCCAGCATTTGAGAGGCAAGGAATCTCAGTGAGTTCAAGGCTAGCCTGGTCTGCCGGGCTAGTTTCAGGGACAGCCTGGTCTCAGGAAACCAATATAAAAATAGCAAAGCGGGAAACCAGCGTGTGCATGCCCCTGCACGTGTGTAGAAGGCACAGAAATTTAACTGTTCTCAGCAAGAATCCACGGACTGTTCAGAGAGAGGTGGGCCGCTGTGCATTTCTGCAGTCATTTCAGAGCTCCAGCACTTACTCTACTCCAAACAACATTAGCCTCCTCTCCTTGTGCTAGTAATATGATTTCAGGTATTGTGAGGGTTTTCTTTTCGTGATTTATTCTGAAAGTGACTACAGTGTGATCTGCTTTTTACTGTCTGTTTCTGTTTTTGAAGGAGAGCAATGAAAAAGACAGGAAGACCCAGCACTCGGGAGGCAGAGACAGGTGGGATCTCTGAGGCCAGCCTGGTCTACATAGTGAGTCCCAGGACAGCCAAGGCTGCACAGAGAAACCCTGTCTCAGAAAAAAAAGAAAAGAAAAAGGGCAGGAAGAGCAGCCAGTCCTAATCAACCAGATTTAGTCGGTTGATTCCCACCTGTGCTTCTCAGAGCAACAGGCTTATGTAGGAACACTCTGGCTTTTCAGAGTTGACGTTAGCCAGTAAATAACTGGCCATAGGGTCACTGGATTCTCACATGGAATCATCAGGACCTAAGTTTTTCTAGTGGATTTTAGGAAGTCAGAGAGGTAGCTGTGTCTGTTCTAACCCTCCCTTCCTAGAGGGCTGCAGTAAAGGCACCCCGCCCACATGTTAGAAAGGGTCTAAAAGTATTCACTGCTCTCTCCCACTGAACTGTTTCCCGGAAGGTGGTTGTCTTGCTCTGTATTTACCTGTCAGTTGAAGGTAGTTTCCAGGTCCCTTCAGCCGTGACTTGGCTTCCCCTCCGCCTTCTCCGCAGAGCAGCTAGTTGAGAGCCGGAGATGGCTGCAGAGAGGTCACGTGGATGGGCAGTGGCCCACAGAGCCTATGTGATGCGTGTGAAGGCAACCTGGTTCCCAGTTCTGGTGTTGCTTAGGGAGCGCTGTTAGCACCCTAAGAAAATTGTTAAGGGCAAGAGCTGTGCTTTGAACACTGAAAGGCCTGGGGACTCTGGTACACGTCTGGGGTGGGAGTGGGCTGGGTTCTCCATGAACTTGGCGGCTGTGGCCCTGAGTGAGGGCATCGCACCTGTCAGGTCACCGCAGCCACAGGGCAGTCAGCTTCCCGTTTACAGTGGTGGCTCGTCCCACTCACCCACGTGATCAAGTGTGGCCTTTTCCTGCTTGGAAGGTAATGACAGGGAGAGGCAGAATGCTGCACATTGTCCTGCTGAAGTAGAAATGTCTGTCTTTTACATGTTTCAGGCTCGTGTTTAAATTCATAACAGATTTTTTTTGAAGATGGCAGCTCCTTCCCCCATAACCTCATGAAATAGCAAAAAGATGTTGCAACAGGCTTGACTCATGTAGTAGAAGATGAGAAAGGCATACATGCATGTGCCTGAGGTCAGAGCGTGTCATATCACCTTGTAGTGGAGTTACAGGCATGTGAATTACCTGTTGTGAGTGCTGGGAATCAAACTCAGGTCCTCTGTAAGAGTGTTACATCCTGTTAACCACTAAGCCATCTCTCCAGCCCAAGCAAACACAGGGCCTACTCCTGCATTCACGTCCCGTGTGCCAGAGTTAGAGATGGGCACTGCCATACCTCTTACGTCTTTATTTTTTGAGACAGTCTCTACATGCAGCCTCAGTTGGCCTTGAACTGGAGGTACTCCTGCTCCTCCTCCCAAGTGTCTGTTCATCCTTTTCTGCAGTTTGTATTCCCCCTGTTAAATCTTACCCCTTACGGGGTTGTGCCCCTTCCATGATTATAAGTGTCTGCATTTTCTGTCCAGAGAACCTTCCAGGATATGTGACCCTGGTGTTGTTTGTAATGTTTGAAATGTTAAGCACTGACCTTGAGACCTGAGGGCTACCACAGTCATGCCTAACAGCACTCGGATGTGCTGCATCCAAGCCTGTTTACAGTGTCATTTACTTACTTACCTTCCCTTGGTAAAGTTTTTACCTTCTGTTTCTTACTAATGGGAGGACACAGCCAGTTTGGTAGACTTGAGCATTAAAATTCTTGGTACTTAATAGTCTAATTAGTTCTGTGTATTAAGAACATAAAAATGATTCTGGCCATGGGGATCACAGCTGAGAACCAAGCTCTCTGGAACCCACGAATCCTCTCCTAATGCTTGTAGGCAAGGACCTCCCTAAGCTCATTTTGTGTTTTCCAAGTGAACAAATGAGAAGAGGGGTGGTGATAAGGCAGTCATGAAGAAAAACTGACAACTGTTTGTAAGGGTAAGGTTTTGTGGTTTTGTTTCTCTGTGTAGCCTTGGCTCTCCTGGAACTCACAGAGATCCCCCTGCCTCTGCCTCCTAAGTGCTGGGATTTAAAGCCTGTGCCACCACCCGGCTTTGGAGATTGGACCCAGAGCCTCACATGTGCTGACAGCTCCAGAAAATGTTTTTGTGAACTATATTACAGTCAGGGGTCTAGAGAGATAGCTCAAGCAATTAAAACAATGTTTTTGCAGAGGACATATATATATGTATGTATGTATGTATACACACACACACACACACACACACATATACATTGGTCACATATTCTGTCCAGCTGATATAGGAGACACAAAACCCTGAGCCCAAAAGAATTTGCTAAAGCAGGCATACTGATTCATGTGTATCTCAGCACCCAGGAAGACTGAGGCAGGAGGATTAAAAGTCCCAGGCCAGCCTCATCTACTTAATGAGAGTCTGTTTCAAATAAAAAGAATGTGTTTTAAGAACACAGGAACATATTCTTTGTGGGACTGGGAAGGTGTCTCGGTAGCTAAGAGCCTTGTTACTTTTCCAGAGGACCTGAGCTCAGTTCCTAGCACCCACTGCTCACAGCTGCCTGTTAACTCCACCTGCAGACACCCTCACACATGAGCAGATGCCCACACTGTTACACACAGAAATAGAAATCTATAAGACCAGATAGGAAAATACACAACCTCAGAATGATTTTTCTCTTTCTTTCCTTCTTGGTATTCTGGTGTTCTTTTTTCTTGAGAGACTTCACTGTGTAGCCCAGGCTTGCTTTGAACTTCTGATACTCCTTCATCCACCTCCCAGGGGCCAGGGTGGTTTGTGTTTTAAATTCAGAAATGGTTGAGGTAAGAAAGACTAAAGTTGGCTTTCAACTTTACTTGTCTGGAAAACACTTTCTTGAACACCAATTTCCCCAAAGTTCTTAGCTGCTGGGATTTTATTTTTAACTTCTGAAAAGTTGTTTGTTTGTTGCTTCTTTTTTTTGTTTGTTTGTTTGTTTGTTTGTTGCTTTTATTAACTTTTTTCTTTAAGCTGAGACCTGGCTGCCCCTGCCCCCTGCCATGTAGACCTGGTGGACTCCTGAGTGCTTGGACTGAAAGCATGTGCTACTGCAGCCATCTGTATTACATTGTGTCCAGATCTACACACCTGATTACTTGGTTGAAAGAACTCAGTGTGGTGACTCTTGGAAAGACAAATTCTACCAGCTGGGGGAGAAAGTCTATGGTCCTCCACAGTCTTAAGATGAGTTTATACAACTTGCTTTTCCAGCACTCACAGAGCCTCTGTTCCGGCAGTGTGTGGCTTTCCTTTCCTTTTTGGCTTTTGGTAATTTGAATCAGGGCCTCATGTAGCCTAGACTGCCTTTGAACTTGGTATGTAGCCACAGAGGACCTTGGAAGTTCTGGTCCCCAGTCCCCACCTCCCAGATGCTGCAACTACAGGTGTGTGCTGCCATCCCTGTCTAGGAGTGTATGCCACCTCTCTTTGCGAGGGTCAGAAGTGTCAAGTGATGCGCGAGTGTTACAGTAGCCTCAGGTGTCAGCCTGGGTTACAAATTCAAATCTGGTAGGTTTTTCTTATTCTCCCAGACTTTAAAACAAAAACCAACCCTGATGTCTGAACCTTCTGTGTCTCCTCGCTTCCTCCTCTCTGATCATCCTTTGTGCTGGGAAAAGCTGCCTACTGCTTGCTTTTGCTTCTTTAGACTGTTACATTCTGTAGATAGAATTTTCTGATCAGGAATCCCTTCTGCTCCTTGGTGTCAGCAAGCCTCTGTGCTCCAAGCTTTTTAGCCAGAGCTGGGAGTTGGTGAACACAGCCTCTCACACATAAACCATCAAAAAGAAACCCTCATGTCACCATCTAGGGCAGTGGTTCTCAGCCTTCCTAATGCTAGGACCCTTTAACACAGTTCCTCATGTTATGGTCCCTCCAGCCATAAGACTGTTTTTGTTGCTACTTCATTTTTTGCTCTGTTATAAATTGTAATGTAAATATCTGGTATGCAAGCCCCAAATGGGTTGAGACCCACAGGTTGAGAACTGATGGACTAACGCAACCAAACAGTTCAGGTTCTAAATAGGTCCTTGGTACATGTCCTTCCTACTCCACTTCGGCCACAGCACAGTGGTTAAGGCAGTGAACAGCAGTCCTGAGATGAGGATGGGTACCAAGCCCAGGCTGTAAGGATTGTTGTTGAGAGTAGAATGCAGAATGACCAGCTGCACAGCTCACTGAGCTTGTAGGCACTCAGATGCCAGAGCAGCCAGCATATCCTCAGTCACTGATTGACCGCTGATTACTCTTCGTTTAGGGCTCAAACCTAAAGTTTTATGAGTTCCATTCACTTGTTTTTACTACTTTTATTTTAATCTTTTCCCAGGCTTTATTGAGGGGTTACCAACAAACTTGAATATATTTAAGGTCTACATCTGAGTACCTTCATACATATATGCATGAAATGAGTGACCACTGGGCTGGGAACATGACTTAGAAGGTAAAAAGCACAACCCATACAAGTGTAAAGGAGAGGTCAGACCCCAAGAACACATGTCAAGCCAGGCATGGTGCTGTACACCTGTAACCCATCCTCCTAAGGTTGGGAAGGAGGTCACCGGAGAAATCCCGGAAGCTTGCCGGCCACATGCAGCTGTGATGAGACACCTATCTCAAACAAGGTGAAAGGGAGGACCAGCACCTGAGCTTGTCCCTTGACCTCCACTTGTGTGCACGGCATATACTTGCTTACATTCATGTACACATGCACATGAACTGTCACCTAACATGCTGGGTGGTATCAGGTCCCAACACCTTGTTAACTCTGGTGACTGCTGTATGATTTACAGAATTCTGGCCTTTAGCATCCTCTGGGAAACCCCTGATACAGACCCACAAGATGGCTCGGAACATGCTGATGGTCTCTGGTAAAAAGCCTGGTAACTTGTGGGTAAGGTGGGCCCTGTTTATGCATGATCGCTGTCTGTGTGCATCAGCTCTTACTTCTAAATTTGGCTTTTTTGCAGGTCCCTAGCTGTTGGTAGTAAGTCCGGGTATAAGTTTTTCTCCCTTTCTTCTGTGGATAAGCTGGAACAGATCTATGAATGCAGTAAGTGCTTGCTTTATTTTCCCCTTGTTAAACAAAGTAGGCTGATGGCTGGAATCAGAATGCAGTCTTCTACTCCAACACTGGGCACTTCAAGTCCACACAGCCTCCCTAGCCACCCCAGGGAGTTACAGCTAAGGACTAGCGTCTGGGTGTCCTTCTAGATCTCTGGGTGTTTATGGTTGTGTTTTTGGGTTTTCAGGACCTGGTATCTTACCATATATAATCTATCATTCCATCACTCATTATTCAGGTTGTTTGACTCCAAAAAGGGTTGCAACCCACAGGTTAAGAGCCGCTGTTCTAGAAAGATCCTGAGGTTGAAGTCAGGCACAGTGCCTCATCTGTAATCCCAGTACTTGGGTGTTCTCTGTCTCCCTGGTACAGAGTGAGATGCTGTCTGAAGAAAAGCAGAGTAATAGTCACTAACACATAAATAAAAAGCCTTCAGGTTCACAGCCTTCCCTCCCTACTTCCCCCCACCCTGGCAGCCTCGATCCGCCCTCCAGTGTTTGTGTCTTCCTACCACAGCTTCCTGAGTCTGGGCATGTTGGAAGTGGTATTAGTCAGGTTGTTTCTGTGGTCACTACAGTGAGCTTCCTGAACCCCAACTAATGAGGAAGAACACATTTATTTAGGTCACTTTAGGGGGTCAAGGGCATGACTGCTTCAGTTCAGTCTGCCTTCAGCATTTTGCACATAGGTAAGAGGGTGTGAGCACTGATCCCAGCTCAGACCTGAAGGCTGGGTGTGGGCACAGTCTTGTAACAGTTTTTATTTCTCCTGTGAGGGCAGGGTCCCCTGGGACTGAAGTTACACATGGTTCTGAGCCATCATGTGAGTACTGGGAATGGAACCAAGGCAGTCAGTACGTTTGTATGGGTTCTGGGGACTCAAACTTAGGTCCTCACACTTGTGAGACAAATCCTCGCAGCCTAGTGACTGGCTTTTCAGTCAGCCCAGTTCACCGAGCAGTTATCAAAGTGTGCTGACACTTGTGTCTTTTGTTGATGAGCAGTAGTTCACAGCTTGACTGAGCCATGGAGAAACAGGCAGTCTAGCTCTGGACTTCTGCAAATAAGGCTGCAGTGCGCATCCCCAGGTGGGTTGGTGTGCATGTCAGTTTTCACTTCGTGGAGGTGGGTGTCTGAGAGGCCAGCTGGGCCAACTGCATGTATAGGGTAAGGAAACTGTGGCTCGCTCCTGATCCTGGGACGAGGACAGCACGTTGTTCTGGGGCAGGCTTAGCTAGAGAGAGTGAGTCCAGACTAGGTTCCATCTGCAGCAACAAAACAGACAAAACAGACTTCCTGCCTGTGGACGTATTTCCTGGGTGGCTGTGCCTCCTTCACAAATAAGATGAGGTGTCTGCACACTTGACAGCGCCAGGCACCTTTCCTCTCAGATATGTGCCATCCTGTCTCATGGCTTTAATTTTGTGTTTCCTTGGGGGTTGGTGGTGTTGAACAGCTTTTGGTTTTTGTCTTTGGGTTGGTTGGTTTGTTTTGAAACAGTTTGTAGCTTTGGCTGTAAAACTGTGTAGATCAAGCTGGTCTCAAACTCAGAGATCTGCCTGCTAGGGCCTGGATTAAAGGTGTGTCCACTAAACCTGGCTTTGCTTTTGGTCTTTGAGATAGGCTAGCCTCAGTTCACAGTCCTGTTCTCCAAGGACTCAGTTTGCAGCTCAGTGTCAAGCCTCTTTTTGGTGTCTGTTCCTTACCCTGGTGTTTTTTTGGGTTTTGTTTGTTTGTTTGTTTGTTTGTTTGTAGAGACAGGGTTTCTCTGTGTAGCTTTGGCTGTCCTGGATTCACTCTATAGACCAGGCTGGCCTCAAACTCACAGAGATCCACCTGCCTCTGCCTCCCAGAGTGCTGGAATTACAGTGTGCGCCACCCCCCCCCCACCCCTGGCTACCCTGGTAGTTTTGCCCACTCTTCTTTGTTTAAGGTCAGTCTCAGCCCAGGGTGGCCTTGTGCTCTGTAGTCGAGGATGCCCCTGAACTGAAGTCTTGCAGACCGTTCTGCTTGTTGAAGAGGAGTGACGGGTGCTGGTTGAGATCAGCTTCCAGATAGAGGTGTGCAGGAGTGACTGTCAGGCGTGAGGCTGGGGACCCTGGTGAACAGACGATAACGGGTACCCAGAGGAAGACACTGAAGCTTGCATTTTGGAATTGTGAGCAGGAGGGTAGAAGACCCCTCCCTGCTCCAGGTGGTCTTGCAGGGGCTCTTGATTCCAGGGTAGATGTGGACGACAGAAGCTTTGGTGTTACCTTGGTGGTTACCCACTGGGAGAGAGCGGCCATCAAGCTTAGACTTCCTCCCTGGCTCTGACCCCTGTGTCCTGCTGCCTCTCCTGGACATTACTCCTTCTCTATCCTCACGGCTCGCCTCCTTCCTGGCCCCTCGGTGTCCTCTAGCCTCACTGATGTGGGAGCTGAGTATTAAAGCAGACATCACTCAGTGGTTACTGATGGCAGCTGTGGGCCAGCACTCCTGACAGCTGAAACAGGACTCCTCCCGCAGAAGGGTGGCCCACCTCAGGAAAAGGCTCCCTTGGCTTTTTCCAGTGACTAAACTTGTGGTCAAGTCTCTGTGAGTGGAGCGCCTTGCTGTGCTGTTGGGTTGCAGTGTCACAGGCGGCTGTGTGGGAATCATGGTTCTGCCTTTATTGGGAGGCCCAGTGTGTAGGTGCGGGGGAGTGCCAGAACCCGGTCCTCATTTGCCTGAACTCCCTCCCTGGCTTTTGTGGGAACAGAGTGTGAGGTCTTGGTAGCATTTTGTAAGTGTGGGAAGTCAGCTTAACAATATCTGTCTTCCCTTAGTGAACTTTGATTCTTTTTGTTTGTTTTGGTTTTGGTGTGAGACAGGATTTTTCTCTACAGGAACTTGTCCTGTAGAGCAGGCTGGCCTCGAACTCGAAGATCCCTCCACTTCTGCCTCCTGAGTGCTGGGATTAAAGACCTGCACCACCACCTCCCATTGTGAACTTTGATTTTTAAAAACAGATACTGAGGGCTGGAGAGATGGCTCAGAGGTTAAGAGCACTGGCTAATGTTACAGAGGTCCTGAGTTCAATTCCCAGCAACCACATGGTGGCTCAAAACCATCTACAATAAAATCTAGTATCCTCTTCTGGCGTGCTGGTATATATGCAGACACAATATTTATACATAATAAATAAATCTTAAAAAAAAAAAAAAAAAAAAACAGATGCTGAAGCCAGGCATGAGGTGCATGTCTGTAATCCCAGCACTTAGGAGGCAGAGGCAGGCGGGTCTCTGTGAGTTCGAGGCTAGCCTGGTCTACAAAGTGAGTCCAGGACAGCCAGGGCTACACAGAGAAACCCTGTCTTAAAAAACAAACAATACATTTTTAAAAAGATGCTTCAGCAGACAAAGAGCATTCCAGCAGACAAAGAGCATTCCAGTTACGCTTTTCACTGTGTCTGATTGTGTGTGCACAGTACACATGATCAAGTGTGTGTGCCAGGGCAGGTATGGCAGGTCCTTCCACCCTTCTGTGGTCTGTAAGGCTGGACCCGGGTCTCAGGCTTGTGCAGCAAGCGCCTTCGCCTGCTGAGCACCGTCCGCCTCCATTTGAGGAAGTGCCCTGCGCAGACGCTGTCAGTGTCTGTGTCCCCGAAGTCCTGGGCACTTCTCTCTTCACAGGAGTGGCTGGCTCCTGGGAAAACCAGCTCATCTCTGAGTGAGTGTCGAGGTTGTGTAGCGTCTTCTGCAAGTAGTGAAGAGTTTCTTCATGACTCCAGCTTTAGCCCTTGGGACTGCGCAGTCCATCCTAAGGTCGAGTCTTTGCTATCAGCAAAGAACAACCAAGGCAGGCTCTGGGGAACAGGACCAGCCACTGCTGCTTTCTTAAAAGCTTAACTAACAGTGCTGCTGCCCTTTCAGTCATTTATTTTTATCTTATGTGCATTGGTTTTGTCTGCGTGTGTGAGGGAGTTGGGGATCCTCTGGAACTGGAGTTGCAGACAGATATGAGCTGCCGTGTTAGTGTTGGAATAGTCAGTCTTTCTCAGTCCCCTTACCTGTCGGGTACAAGGTCTTGATGTAGACCAGGCTGGCCTACATTGTTGAGATGACCTTGAACTTCTAATCGTCTGTCTCTATCTTGTGTTGGGATTAAAGGCATGAGCCATCACTCTTGTTCTGATGAAGATCTGGGATGGAACCCAGGGCTTCCTGCATGATAGGAGGTATTCTCTCCACTGAGCCACCTTCCCAGTTGATTTGAAACTTGAGCAAAGCTATAAAAACTTGGGTCTCCTGCCTGTTGTTTCTGGCCCGTGTTCTCATTCATTGTCTGTGGGCACATGTCTCATTGTTGGAAAGTTCACAATGCACATACATGTGGCTCTCTTCTTAAATGGCACCACAACAGCAGTGTCCATGATTAAGTAAGGTATATAAAAGATCTTTGTAAAATGTCAGAGCTTCTCCAGATGCCGTGTAGAGTGAGTGGGGACAGTGCTCCTCAGAAAACATGTACTTCTAAAAGTTGACAAAGTGAGCCTGTCTGTAGCTCAGCAGTATCTGGAAGCTCGGGGGTTGTGGGAGCCTTCTCTGGACACAGCACCTTATGGGCATCTGCATCCTCAGGCCTGAGAACTGACCCTTTCCTGTTTGACAGGCTGTGCACCTGTCAGAGTATTCATTTTGTGAGATTCTACAGTAATGGAGTCACTTCTGCCTCAGTGTGCTGGAGTGGAGAATCAGCTCTTGACAGGCATTACTGGGAGAGCCCAGGCATGGACAGGCCTGTGTGGAAATGTGCTCCATGTTATTTGATGATGTCTTTGTTCTTCTCATTTGAGGAGCATCATTGTTGCCAGAGCAAAATAGCATTTACTTAAGTAACTCCTTTCCCAAGGTAGACTTTTAGACAGCCAACCTCAAAAAAGTGGGCAGCATGTGCCCAAGGCCACCTGAAAACTGGGCCATCGCTACTTGAGGTCACCAGCATTTGTGTTCAAAGTTTTCTCTGCAT